ACAGAATTATATTTTTAAAAGAGTTTATATGTGACAATGATACCATTATGTTTTGGAACAATGCTGAGACATAAAATACAATGCACACTTTTCGTGATACCCCATTTGCAAACAAAATCAAGGTCAACAGTATTAAGGAGAGTGTGGAATATTGCATGTCATTCTGAACTGTTTTAGGATTACCATTTTGTGATCTAGTGTGGTCCTCAATTTTAAATCATAAATGAAAATTTGTACAAACTCTCTAAACATTAATGTTCAAACACTGATAGAAATTCTAACATGAATAAAAATATTATAACTTATTGTTTACGTATTTTGTTTGTGGAACATTTATTAAAAATGGTGGCTTGCATCTTCTTTGATTCATACAGGCTAACTGAAACCATATTCTGGACAACCTTTTTAAACATGGTAATGACCTTCATTGTCTAACATGAAATGTTTATGGTGGGATTTTAAAGACCTGCATAGAGGCCATCTCAAAGTTGCAACAAATCTTTGGTGTGCAGCCACAGTTCTATAATTCTGGCAGATTGTGGACTGAGACTGCTTTGCTGCCCAGACAATAAAGGGACTTCTTCATTGAATTCTCAAGAACCAGATCTAATGGATTAGCAGTGTTAATCGGCTACAACAAGCAAATAGTCTTGTGGTATCTTGAAGCAGGGGTGGGCAACCTTTCAGGACCAAGAACTGAGCCTAAGATATTGAAGAGGCTAAGGACCACATCTAATGTGTGAGTAGAACAAGATTTGGGATAGCTTTGAAGGTCTTGTTTGCTTTTTAACTATGAAATATCTATATGATACCATAAATTATAGTTTTTTTCATGTATTCCACATTTCAAAATGGAAAGCAATTATCATGTCAGTTTTCAGTCCACCAAAGACTACAAAAGGGGTTTCAACTTGCCCACCCCTATCTTAAAACAGATATATCCCATGATTATCCATCACTGGCAATTTCATTTGTTCGATTTTATCCTACATCTGTCAAAGCATAGTGCATAAAAGTGTATATTAGATATAAAAAAATTTGCCTTTAATATTAGGCGGGGTTGGGTCCCCAACAGAATGCCCATGGCAACCTCTGTTGGTGTTGTCTTGGCTCCCTGCCCCATCACCTCTGAGATTTGGACAACTTCAGTAAGCATTCTATAAATTGACATATTGAAAAAGCCCCCACAAAAATACAAAATGAGAAGGGACACAACCAATTAGGTTATCAACAAGGTTACAAGTAGTATGGAGGAAGTCATGGGAATGACCTGGTAAAAGCAAAGTAGACAGGAACACTAGACTTATGGTGATCTGTAACAGACATTTTTCCCCTCATGGATGTAGTTTCCCAGATCGGATTGCTCAAAGTTCACTCAGTATTAATTTGGAAACCACTTTTCCCATTTATGTTTCATATCTTTTACGCTATTCAATATTACTCTTTGGTCTCTGTTAAACCTACCTATGATTCTTATTTCCTTTAACTTTTTTTAAAAAAAATCATTTTTTTTATTCAGGGAACAACAACATTTGAGTAAGGTTAAACTAAACATGTAGCTAAATTCTTTGACATAACGTAAGTGGCCACTCCAGAGTGTCCCTCATTGAGAATCTACAATGCCCTAATCATACAAGGAGGTGTGCACTCAGCTGCAATACAAGTAAGTGATACCTCAGAGGAGAATCTGAAACAGAGGCTGATTATAACTGAAGTATCACATTCATGCCATATTTTAATTGCTTTTAATAACTAGCATAAATAATAAGAACAAAAATAAGCTTATAATGCAAAGAATAAAGTCCTGGTCTAAATAAACTTAGTGGAACAATGTGTGTGTCAGGAACTGTGGCACAAGTGCCTTTGAAATACTTTCCCCATTCTGAATTTTCACAATTGAGTCCAGTCCACAAAAGTTCTGGGGAAGTCCCTGTACACTCTGTTTATAAAAGTTGAAAGGTAAAAGACAAATACAGTATTATCAACACTGACAAAAATGAAGAAAAATGTTAATGTTTACAGCAATAGCAAGAAAAAGAAAGAAAATTATTACAAAGAAATCTTAATTTTATAGACTTCAATACAGCAGACTTTCTGAACAGCAGTTTCACCATCTGAGGTAATTCATATCAATTTGTAATGATATAATTATACCAATGACATGAATGGTGCCATTGCATTTGTATGACATCACAAAGATGATATAAACTGCCATAATGATCAACTCTTATATTCAACATGCCATTTGTAAAGAATAAACCCTCGACTGATGCATCAAAATGAGATTATGCTATAATTAACTAATTTTTTCTTCTGGTCTACTTTTTGGGGCATTTTTTGCCAAATTAAGGTAATTAGTTACATGTATAAGTACACGTTTTCTCTGCAAGAAAGTTGTCCATATTGATATCACCAACTAGAATTAAGAACTGAACCACTTTTTCTTAAGAGACAATAGGAAGCAAATATATATTAAACTATGTTGGTGAGTGCAGTTGTAGTTAAGGGGTTGTACTTTGTTTTAAGCTTTTACTTGTTTTACTTTAATTTTTTTACTTATATCCTTAATCTTTTCCTAATTTAAGGCCTTTCTATTATACTCTAGTTTGGCCAAAGATACAATCAATCTGGAATGACCAAGAATTTATGTAGTTTCTTAATATAAAGAGGGATAAAATGACAATATCCTTTCTTAAGTGCTAGATTCATTGATTTATTGGCAGTATTTCTTTTCCTGTCAAGAGGATTTTTATCCAGTATTTGAAATATTATAGCCTATGGAATTTAAAAAAATGGGAAGGAGCCATTTGGAGCCAGCCACAGAGTTTTAAACTAGTAGAGTTTAGTTTCTGCTCTGTTCCACTTATAATATTAAATAGATATTGAAAGGCACCATAAATATCTATTGTTTTGACACAAAGGAAATTAAATCCAGTAATGCAGCTGATGGACTTCTCACTGCTTCATTAAGTGGAGAACATTTAAGACTGATAATTTGACAGAAGGAAAAAAAATAATCTTCCTTGCAAATTGCTATTACAAAAATGGAATTAAAAAGTTGTACACACTGCTGCACTGAAGTTAATAGTTTATTTTTCTCACTTGATCCATGATGGTGAGGCACCATTCGTTCCCTACAACAATAACATCAATTTTACATCTTACAGCCTGAGTTATGCAATGAATTCTTTAAAATCTTTTTTTATAATTCTGATGGAACCACACCAATACCTGACTGCCAAATTAATGATTTGTTATGATTATGTTCAAGCATTAAGGCTACTTGGGGCATTGAATGTCCATAGAAGATATCTTGAAGCTAAGGGAAGTTGCCACCCAGGATATTAACATATCAAAATTGTCAGTCCAGAACAGTGGCCTCTTTGTTGGCGTGTCACATA